TGAAAATCGGTAAGGCCCTTATTTTAGGGTTTGTCGTTTCCTCTCCCTTCCATTTTTCTTCAAGTGCTCCGACTGATTCCTCATCTTCTCCACCTAATTAAGGGCTGGTTTGGTATTGCTGTGCTTTGAAAAAAAGCTGCTGTGAGAATAAGCGGCTGTGCTGTGAAAATAAGCGGCTGTGAAATAAAGCAGCAGAGCGTTTGGTAAACTTTTTTGTAAAAGTGCTTTTGGAAAAAAAAGCAATCTGATAGTGGGTCTTTTCATTAAAGGAGCACTGTAGCTCCATGTGCTTTGAAAAAAAAGCCAGTTTTCCAAAGCTGCAAATAGCAGCTTCAGCTTTTTCCTTTGATTTCAGCTTATTCTCACAGCAGCTTCCAAAATAAGCCCTTTTTTTCAGTTTACCAAACACCTAAAACCCTCACAGCTTTTTTTCATAGGTGCTTTTTTTTTAAGCACCTCACTCCCAAACTAGGTCTAAGTTTCTCGTTTCCTCTCTCTTCCATTCTTCTTCGATTGCTCCACCTGATTCCCCACCTCCCCACCTAATTTCCATCTTCTCGCTTTGTATAATTTTCCAAAACCTAATCATGTGTCCAGTTAATTTCCTCAAGCACAGCGAAGAAATTTGGGCTTCCAGGTCAAAGTTCTCATTTTTTTTCCCTACAATTGCACTGTTATTCTGATTCCTTATACATATCTCTCTCACGTTTACTCTTTCCTCACACTCTCTGTTTCTTTTTCGTCACCCTCACGGTGTAGTGAAACAGAATATTTTAATAGAACCGCCGCAGAGGCCGCTTAGCTTGGCACCTAGCCCGCCTAGTTGGCCACCTAGGTACCGCCTAATACCCTTGCCGATTTATTGAACGTGTTTTAAATAATCGCGGCGGCGGCCCAACGCCCAGCGCATAGGCAGCCGCTCAGACCGCGTTTTAAAACACTGACTGTTCCAAAATGGAGCCAAGTTGCTGTCAGTGTTAGCCAAAAAAATGGTCTGAAAGTGGCGTGACAACCACGGTTCCTTCCTTCCAAAAAATATTGGGGAAATCTTCCCCAACTTGTTTTATGCACTAAATCACCCCCAATCACAATTTGAAAGTGGCGTTGGTAATGGTTCTTGACTCGGGGAAGGAAGTGTGAGATGAGGGAGGAGGGAGAAAGCCCATAGATGGAGGTGAATCATTGTCCGGTTTGCTGTTGTTCAGTGAGGGACCAAAGAGTGTGAGGTGAGAGAGCTCGAGGTTGGTGGACTTATTGCAAGATCTACAACAATGGTTTGTGTGATGGTTCTGGTAAGGCTCACTGGAGAGGTGGCGAGTGTGTTGTGTGTGGAGCTCAGCCTCTCTGTTTAACACAGATAGCACATAGAGAGTTTAAAATGAGAGGTGAGAAATGAGAGATGAGAAAGGAGAGTGAAAGAGAGGGATGAGGGAATCTGAGATAGTGGGAAGGGAGGTGACATGAGGACAAAAGGAAGAGGAGACCCACGTGGGTGGGTCCCACCAAACAGAAAAAACCCCACAAGAAATATTAAAATAATGAAGGGGCAATTAATCTAGAATAATGAAGTTACCAAAATGCCCTTTGCTTCATAGTTCCGTAAAATCTTCATCGTAACTCGAAATTCGATTCCGCTTGCGCCCACGTATTCGTATCGTCGAGTACTTCAGGAATATGTTTGTGCATACCTTTGGGTCAAGCCCAAATAATAATTAATTAGGTACGATTCCTAATTAATAAAATACTAACGTCAATGGACCTGATTGCCCACTTGCTTAACGAACTCAACGAATAAGCCATTTATATATGGTATGCAGCCTGCAATACCAACAACTCACTATTGTTTTGATTCATTTTCATAAGGATTCGACGTAAACTAGGAGTGCCGACTTGATAAACAAGTAAAAAAATTCTAAGAGTGCAAAATTACCATTTTGCCCCTCATTGGAAATGTGCATAAATTGTCCGATTTACGCCCATTTATGCTCACGTGTTGTAAAGACACATACGACCTAGAAATATGTGCGAAGTGATAAAAAAAGTGATAAGGATTCAAATGTCCATGAGTATAGGCCAACATGGGCATTTTCGTAATTTTCTAAGGTTAAAGAATAAAATTATATTAAATTTGGGATGAGATGTCACACCCATTTTTACTTCCCTCACACACTTGTTAATTTTTTACCATTGATTTTCTTAGAAAATTAAGAGAGGTTATGAGAAATAAAAATATGTGTGGATAGTATGACTACCTTATTTAATTTGCAATTTTTCAAAACTTTGCAAGGTTTTTGCAGCTACAAAACCACCAACTTCCTTCTGATTCTGTGCCTATTCAGTGCTTTTGCAGCTAACGTTGTTGATGTTACATGGTTAAGTAGAGGTTGGCACGTGTCTAAACATTAGAGGTGGGTATATTTTTGATACAAAATATGGGTACAAAAGATATGAAGGCCAACCATTGCTAATGCTAGCAAAAATAGTAGTCATTAACACCTCGTTTGATCAATAAATAGGTTGCTAATTGCATCTAGAAGTTGATTAAGATCATAATTAACCTCTCCAAGTTTCTTTGATTAAACTAACAAACCAACCTAACATAATTAAGGCCTAGGCCCAAAACATTTAGGCAAAATCTAAATGAAAGGTTCAGCTAGGCCTGGCAATTTCTGACACGATCCAATAACCCAACACGACACGACATTAACAGGTGTTCGGGTCGACACGATAACGAAACGGGTCGTTATTGGGTAACCCAATAAGTACCTGTTAAGATAACGGGTTGGTTCGGGTATACACGTGGGTAATACGATACACGATAAGCAGAATATTAATTTAATAATTTTATAACCCTAAAAAAATACTATAATAATTATATATATATATATTAATTTAACAATTTTATAACCCTAAAAACTATAGTAATTATATATATATATATATATATATTTAATTAACTATAATAATTATACTTATATATATATATATATATATATTAAATTTTAAATTAAATTTTATACCCCTAAAAACTATAATAATTATACATACAAAATAAATAGATTTAAATCTACTTAATAAATAAATAAATATATACACACACACACACTTCATTGAACTTCATGAGATACGAATTATACGAAACTAATTTCAACGATCCAACCGTCAAACTTGTTTGTATATACTTCAAGATCACATCAGCAAAAAATTACAAAAAACAAACATTCACATATCAAGTAACGGGACAAAACTTTTCGACGGTTATAAACGAAAAATCACGATTTAACGGTTATTTTAACTCCGATTTTGATGATTTTTTACAGCTACACTCCTTGACCCTATATGAATACAATGAATGAATTCGATATTCAATTTAAAATTTTTACACTAGTGGATACCACAAAATCTTATGTTACACTTGATGAAAGTATGAATAAACTCTTAATTGTTAGTGAATCTATTGTTTTGATAGGATACGCATTCTACGAAACTAGTTTCAACGATCCAACCGTCAAACATGTTTGTATATACTTCGAGATCGCATACGCCAAAAATTGCAAAAAACAAACATTCAGAGATCAAGTAACGGGACAAAACATTTCGACCGTTATAAACGAAAAATCACGATTTAACGGTTATTTTAACTCCGATTTTGATGATTTTTTACAGCTACACTCCTTGACCCTATATGAATACAATGAATGAATTCGATATTCAATTTAAAATATTTACACTAGTGGATACCACAAAATCTTATGTTAGACTTAATGAAAATAAGAATAAACTCTTAAGTGTTAGTGAATCTATTGTTTTGATGGAATACACATTCTACGAAACTAGTTTCAACGATCCAACCATCAAACATGTTTATATATACTTCAAGATTTGCAAAAAACAAACATTCAGAGATCATGTAACGAGACAAAACTTTTTGATGGTTATAAACAAAAAATCACGATTTAACGGTTATTTTAACTCTGATTTTGATGATTTTTTACAGCTATACTCCTTGACCCTATATGAATACAATGAATGAATTCCATCTTCAATTTAAAATATTTATACTGGTAGATACCACAAAATCTTATGTTAGACTTAATGAAAATAAGAATAAACTCTGAAGTGTTAGTGAATCTATTGTTTTGATGGGATACACATTCTACGAAACTAGTTTCAACTATCTAACCGTCAAACTTGTTGGTATATGCTTCGAGATCGCATACGCCAAAAATTGCAAAAAACAAACATTTAAAGATTAAGTAACGGGACAAAACTTTTTGACGGTTATAAACAAAAAATCACGATTTAACGGTTATTTTAACTCCGATTTTGATGATTTTTTACAGCTACACTCCTTGACCCTATATGAATACAATGAATGAATTCGATCTTCAATTTAAAATATTTATACTGGTGGATACCACAAAATCTTATGTTAGACTTAATGAAAATAAGAATAAACTCTTAAGTGTTAGTGAATCTATTGTTTTGATGGAATACACATTCTACGAAACTAGTTTCAACTATCTAATCGTCAAACTTGTTGGTATATGCTTCGAGATCGCATACGCCAAAAATTGCAAAAAACAAACATTTATAGATTAAGTAACGGAACAAAACTTTTCGACGCAATGTTTAAACTTTTGAGAAAGGCTTCACAACCTTGAAAACAAAAACGCTTTCATTTTGCATATCCTTGCACATTTAATAATTGTAATAGATTAGAAGTGTATGAATTTATTTTTTATGAGACTCTTATTTTCGAGTGTAGATGTAGTACTTAAACGACAAATGTATTTTAATGTTTTGAAGTAATATTTATGTGACAATGTGTGGTATGTGCAAATTTAAGAAAAAAAAATATTTTTCTTAACGGGTCATAACGGGTCGGGTCACTTTACCCATAAAGTGATCCGACTGTTAAGGATCCGTTAAGATAACATGTGTGACACGATACGATCGATGAAGATAACAGGTGTTACACAAAAACTACACGAACACGAACACGCCTAACGACCCGTTTGCCAGGCCTAGTACAGCCACCACCTTCGCCTGCTTTACTGAGATGAGCACACCGACGACTTTCTCCAGTCGCCATTTTTAGAGAGAGAGAGCTTTAGGGAGAGGAAAAATGGGTTGTGGGAATTTCTTCTGCAACGTACTCCTGACCTTCTCCGTGGCTCTGATCACATACAACATCATCATCTCAGCCAATTCACCACTCCAGCAGGACCTTCCCGGTCCGTCGAGATCATCATCGTCGGTTGCAGTGGACCCCATCATCCAGATGCCAATGCACAGATCGCGAGGCAAATCGGGGAGCTCCAAGCGACTGTTCCACACGGCGGTGACAGCCTCCGACTCCGTCTACAACACGTGGCAGTGCAGGATCATGTACTACTGGTTCAAGAAGTTTCAGAACGAACCCGGCTCGGAGATGGGCGGGTTCACTAGGATCCTGCACAATGGGAAGCCGGACAAGTACATGGATGAAATCCCTACTTTTATTGCTCAGCCTTTGCCTGCTGGAATGGATCGGGTTGGTGGGCTTTTCTCTTAAAATTTTGGTTAATCTGTTTATGTTTATCTGCTTTTTTTGGAAGCTGGTAATTGGATTCAGCTTAATTTTGGACTTTTCCTCTGTGTTTGGGAGATGGGTTTTTGTTATTTTTGTGTGTAGAATTTTGGGTTGCTCATAAAAAATGCAAATGGAGAAATTAGATTTTGATTGCTTTTAGGGACATTGCTAGTATAGTGATGCAGAATTTACTTTCATGATTAAATTATGCAATCTAGAAGTTGTAAATTACGGAACCCGAATGAAGTTAAGTTGATGAGTTGTAATGCTGACACAGTATAAACCCTCTGTGATTGTCATTTTGCAAGAAATTACATTGTAATAGTTTCTCACCGCGCATATTGTAATCACAGGGTTATATTGTTCTCAACCGACCATGGGCATTTGTGCAATGGCTTCAGCAAGCAGACATTAAAGAAGAGTACGCGCTATGCTTTACTTCATAGTTTCGGTACTTAATAAGTCGATCATATTTGGTGTTTCTGTTGGGTTGACTTATATGTATGCTGTTCTTACTGTGTAATGTATGCAGTTACATACTGATGTCAGAGCCCGATCATGTAATTGTCAAGCCAATACCGAACTTGTCTATTGATGGGCTTGGAGCTGCATTTCCTTTCTTCTACATTGAACCGACGAAGTATGAGTCGGTCCTCCGGAAATACTTCCCTGAGGACAAGGGACCAATAACTAAAATTGATCCAATTGGAAATTCTCCCGTCATCGTTGGGAAGGTATTGAACTTGTCATCTCTCCCAGGTATAACAACAGTTACCTTTAGGTTTATGGTGTTTTGACTTTTCTTTTTAAAATAAATCATATTAGGAATCTCTCAAGAAAATTGCTCCCACGTGGATGAATGTTTCTTTGGCAATGAAGAAGGATCCTGAGACAGACAAAGCTTTTGGTTGGGTTCTTGAAATGTGAGCTCTCACTAGTTAATTTAGTTCTTTGATGACGTTACAGCCGGTTAACTAAATTAGTTATCAGAACACTCCTTGACCTTTTTAAGTTAATTTTGCATCATGATACAGGTATGCTTATGCTGTTGCATCCGCTCACCATGGGGTTGGTAATATCTTATACAAGGACTTCATGCTTCAGGTTTAGAACCCCTCTTCTTTCTTTGAATGTATAACTTTTCTTGATTGCAAGTTATTACGTAATTTTGAATTTAGCCATTTGTTACCTTCTACAAGGTTAATTGATTTGTTTACATATTTCATTATTTACTACTACCGTTTAACTTACCAGCATTACTATTTTTCTGATGCATATCAGCCTCCGTGGGATAAAGAAATTGGCAAGAAGTTCATAATTCATTACACGTATGGATGTGACTATAATATGAAGGTAGTATGTTCGATAAGCTCTTGGATACTTTTATTTTATTTCTGACAGTTCGATTTACTGCCCAATACATGTCTTCAGTTTTCAAATGAAAACTTTCAGCTCTTTAATGTCTGATTTTGATGTTCTGATATCAGGGTGAACTAACATATGGGAAAATTGGAGAATGGAGATTTGATAAACGGTCTTATGATACTGTTGCACCGCCTAGAAACCTTCCTATGCCTCCACATGGTGTTCCAGAAAGCGTGGTATGTATCATCACCTAGTAGTAGTAGTGTTTCTGCATAATTGGTTACGCTAGCGAATAACATAATTAATATTGAGGCCAAGGGCATGTAACTTTATGTTTCCCAGCTTTGGCCCTGCTTATTCCATCTTGACTCGAAATTTAAACGTGTAGGTGACCCTGGTGAAAATGTTGAATGAAGCCACAGCAAACATTCCAAGTTGGGGGGAATAGGTAAAAGAGCTGGTTGGAGCTGATGTAGACACTGAGTCTGTATATAACAAAGCTACGCCGCCTTTTGGTACAGATGCCACTCACGGAAAAGTTGGTGAAAATTGTCATGTCTCGCTAATCAACTTGGGTTGCACACTTCGTGTCATACACTTGAATTCAGTTGCTCGTATGACCAAATTATGGGTGTGAAATTTACCACAAGCATGAACACGAATTCATTTTGTGAATGATAAAGTTACATGTATAGGTAATGCAGGAGCTTGGACAGAGCCGTTGAGTCACTTGATGATCGAATACGAAAATGACTACATTTGTTTTCTCCTTCCTATGAATTTATCTTTTGCGAACAAATGTTGGGATTTTCCCCTTGATTAGAATTGTGAGTTTCCTTTGATTTTAATTCGTGTGGTGTGGATGTGGCTACATAAACTTGATAACTCCTATGTTTTGGTTCAACTGTAGTCCTCTTAACTTTTGATGTTGGTGAAAAACACTTTGAAAATCAAACTATACAAAAATACGGCTTCACTTATCAACTGTTAATGTCGGGTGCAGCAATTCTTGATGGTTGAATAGGCTTTTTCCTTCAAATCTACAACAAATTCAGGTACATAAACAGTTTTTCGCAAAAGACAAATAAAAATAGCGATTCGTCCTTTTTGGAAAGATGAAAACGCCCTCAAGGAATCACGTTCGAATCCATCGTCCTTGTCGTTTCGTTTTGCATTAACAGTTTTTCAAAAATCGTTTTGTAAAACGTTACTGTACAGACCCTAAGAGATTAGTGTTTCTAGAATTTAGGGATTGTTTTCTTTTAAACAAAAGTAACATGTGTCAAGGTATGAGTTCATCCCACAAGAAAGGGACGCAGTATTATCTAGAGAAATATTCTTCAAACCAAGGAATAGGGAGGTGCATTGTACAAGAATTAAACTTCTCAGTCAATTTATTACTTGGTATCATGAATATGTTATTTGATATCGACAACTCGATTTTTTTTTATATACATACATATGACTAGACCATTATCATTTGATTAACAGTTTAGATAGACGATTTTTCATGAAGATTAAAAAAAATTCCATAATTAAATTTATATGATAAAAATATGTTGGTAGCAAAGTATTGACAAGGTGGTGCATCCTAGTGTGGTGTGTGGATGTAGGTGGTGCATCCTATTGTTCATTGCACATATATCCTCAATCTTACAACACACGTATATTTATCACATTTATTAATCATGATACGTTCTGACAATTCTCTTTCACAACACATATAAAAGTACGCTCGGACTCAATTGGGAGTTTAGTTGCTAGAGTGGGAATTGTCCAAAGTGCCCATCCAAGTAGGAGGCGACATACCGGTTTGTTCATGAACCGTCTTGAACAATGGTGGCAACATCTTGTAAACTCCGGCAACCTCCTTCATTGCCCCATTTGCACCGCCATCACCACCTTCTCCCCCACCATTTGTCCAAATGCTGATTTTCGGCTGAAGTCCGCGCATGGCCTCGGCATTGATCTTAGCAATTTCTTGAAACATGCCACTGTTGATCATCATAAAGTCTCTCATGGCTGCATAGTTTCCTCCAACTGCATCCAAAAGGTGGCGTAGATATGCACCTTGAGCTTGTCCAAGGGCCATGAGTCCCTCAGCCTCTTTTTTCTTTGCATAAAATTCTCCGTCAGCAACTTGTTGACGTCCATAGAATTCTACCTCCGCCAATGCCTTTTTGGCCTCTGCCTCTTTCTCCCTTTGGAAAAGAATTGCCTCTGAGACTTTTTGTTTGTTGTATAACTCCCAATTCGCCTCATGTACCTTTAATTTGTTTATGAACATTGTTGTTATATAAAGCTTTGACACAATAACTTTACTAATCAACCAACCGTTGCGCGCGCGCATTTGGAACTAATGGATATAAGCAAAGGGAAGGATTATGTCCATCAACAAAAAATAGCTTTTGAAACTCCAATATGCATGGATTTGTTTGATGATGTGGGTTGAGACAGTGACAGAGTTAGAATTTCATGTTAGTGAACCTATAACAAACTCTAAACCAAAACATCTAATAGATGAGTTACATATTCCAAAATCAAGTATCACCAACTCATATGTTGAGAAACTTCAAGACACATACTAAAGACAATTATATTGAGACTAATAAGAGAAACCAGACATCAATATTAATCATAGTCTAAGATATAGAGAATTAAGAGTAATGTTAGGGAGAATCAATTTAGAAACTAAATTTTGGAAACTAAAAGATATAGAAGTTGATGATTGGTTTATTAGTTAAGCGTTGATGGACGTGCTCATTTCTATTGGTGACATATCATTTAGTTTGCAATTTTAGTCTTCAAATTTAGTCTCCCTAGTATTACTCGAGAATTAAAGAGATCTTATAAAGATTAATTACTACTCAGTTTACTTAATCTAGATTTGGGATAATTACTACTCAATTAACTTAATCGAGATTTGAGATTAATTACTGCTAAGTTTAATTTTTTTTTGTCAAACCATAGATTTTGTTAGATTAGATATTAGATTAGCCACTAGCGAGGTTCAAACTCATCCCGTCATGCAAGGGCTCAACTCTTTTCCACCACTGTGGTAAAGAGCCACTACTCAGTTAACTTAATCGAGATTTTGGAGTAAAAAGAAAAAAGCTAAGAAATTGTGAGCAAACTAGAATTTTTTTTTTTTTAAAAAAAAGGAGGAAAACTAATGAAAATGATTTGAAAACTTTGAGTTTTAATGATAAGTACAAAATAAAGGGTAAAGTGAATAGTATCAGGATTGACTTTTTAGTGTAAAAATATGGTTTTTCGTTAAAGTGAACAGTACCGAAAACTTTTCGTTAAAATTCCCTAAAAAAAATCATTAAAAGAAATTTTAGAATAAAAAAACGAGTAGCATATTTTATTTTTAAACGCGAAAAAAAATATTTATATATATTAGATACCTTTGTTTCATACTCAACGCTAGCCTTGCTCAAGAACTCAGCCTTTAGCTTCTCCGTCCTAGTCAAGGCATTCATCCTCTCAACCTCCGTTTGCAACTCGGCATCCCTCAATGCCACAGCCTTTGCGGCCTCCACCTCCGCCACCTGCGCCTCTTTCGCCCACCCGGCCTTCTTCTTGGCCAGCTCAGCATTTGCCTCAGCCACCTCAGCCTCCCTCACATTCTCATACACCTTCACCTCCGCCTTCACCTTAATCTCCGCCATCCTCCCCTCCCCCTCCCTCTTCGTCCCATATATCTTCGTCTCTGCGTCAATCTTGGCCGCGTACTGCAGCGTCTCGCCCTCCCTCATCTTCGACCCTATCTCCCCCTTCTTTCTTGCCTCCGCCACGTCAACCCTTGCCTGATTCGCCGCCTCCATCTGTGTTTTCTGCCCCAAGTAACTAAAATACTCATGCCCCGGCACATCCACCAACTGCTTGACATTTGCATTATAAATCAAAAGCCCAAACTGATTGAGTTCCAACTGAACCTTCTCAAACACCTCTTGCTTAAACTCTTTTGTCCCCCTAAACACCTCCTCCATGGTCATCGAGGCCGCGAGAACACGAGTCTCGCCCTCAATGATCCCCTGAACAAGCTCTTTCACGTGGCTAGAGAGCTTGTCATGGCGGGAAATGAGCTTGGCGTACTTGTGGAGACTGTGGATGTCATCGATGCGTGGGCCGATGGTGAAGACGGCGGGCAGCATGAAGGGGAGCTTTTCGGAGCTCATGGCTTGGACTTCGAAGGTATAGTTGACGGGGGACATGTCGAAGATTATGAAGGACTGGCCGGGGAAAATCCATGCCTTCTTTGCAAGCTTTATGTCTTTGATTCCGATCCCGGTGATCACCAGATACTCTGAAGGGCTTGCTACTTTATACATTTTTGTCCTTCTTTACTTGAGCAATGCAAGAGCTATGTTATATGAGGGAAAGCAACAAGGAGCATAAGTATATATAGGAAACGATATGCAGAACTCATTTATCAAAAAATTGGGTTTAGGATAATTTATGTGTGTATAGTAAATTAACTCATTTATTAAAGATTGGGTTTATTGACCACAAAAATTATAAATAAATAAAAAAGGATTGGGTTTAGGATAATTTATGTAATAATTGGAGCTCAATTAGCAGCACGCGCATTATCTGAAGAAGTTGACGTGTATCATAAAATTAATTAACAATAAGAGGAATAGCTCCATTTCTTATAAGCTAATGTAAAATCCATTTTTCCATCAACGTGTGACTTATTCTCAAGACACTCCCCTTCTGTGTAGCAAATGTTGAAGCCTAATAAATGAAAAACACAAGCATGGTGATGTGGATCACATGGGGGTGTTGAGCTTTACAGGTAGGACAACATATTCTAATACTATGAAGAAATTGAGATTTCACCATAAAACAAATTGACAATACAAAAAATATTCCGATTTTTTATAAACTCATGCAAGGTTCTTCTTTTCATTTTCTCAACAGTTTACTTTGAATTCTTTGTAATGTTTACTTTGAGTTCTTTGTAATTTTTTTGTTTAAATATATAAATGTTTGGGGATTTTGGGTGTCTCCGCTTGATAATGTCAATGACAAAAGGTCAAAAATTTGGGCTGTCAATTTCGGAGATGGATTGTCTGCCCTCTCCTCTCCATTCCCTCTCTATACTATCCTGTTTTGTGCGGTTACGATTAAGTTACGTCAACATTTGCTTTTTGTCTTATTATTTTTTATAAAAAAAAATAATATAAAATATTGACGTGGCTTAACCGTGACCGTACAAAACATGAGGGCATGAGGAGGGTATGAGAAGGGGAGAGCAGACAATCCATCTCCGTCAATTTCAATGGAAATTGCATCGTACTTGCTCTTCCTTCTGTTCTTAGCTTTTAAATTAATTTTCTTTAATTTTTAGTTTTTCCCGTCTCTTATCTATTTGAATTTGTCGACAAAGTCTTGACTCGTATATATTCCTTTCATAAGAACTTTATTATGCGGCCTTATACAGGACGGTAAAATTCCATCACCAAATTTGGCATCCTTAATTTAATTTATATATTTACAGCAGAATTGGAATTTAGCCTTTTTTTCGTTTTGTTAATGGTGCTTTTTAATGATGCGAGCTTGTAAAGTATTTGAGCGACTTTTGTCCACGATTTTATAATTTTTGAGTTTGTTTTCGTTAGCATACTTGCAAATGCAGCTGGCAACCATTAGAAGAGGTACCGTACGGCTAAAACTGTTGTCCATCAAATTATGGAAGCGAAATATGTAGTTTTGAATATCATAGTGCGCAACGAACAAGACTAATAAAATAAGAATATTATTAAACAAACGAGAATGCCGAAACGGTTACAAAACCTTAAGAGACTACATTGTGACTAACTTATTCTCTCTGAATAACAAAGCTCTCTATTTCTAATAAACTAACCCTAGTCCCTAATAAGCAAGGAAACGAAA